GTCCTTGAAGTAAGCCGCCGCCTACCATTCAATGCGCTCGCCACCCGTTGCCTTTGTTTGTTGGCACGTTGCTGGTGACACAATACCGTCCATTGAGCATTTGCGTTTGTGCGCGATGCCACCTTGCCGACGGTAGGTGCAAGGGAATCTAAAGGAAATGGAACGAAACGAAACTCATTGACAAAATTGTACGACAACGCTGTTAAGAGTGTTAACGAAGAAAAGGACCAAAGGTGATGGGGAAGAAGCAAAAAAAAACAGTTGACTAAGTATAATGCGACAAACGCAAAAAGAGCTCAACTTCAATACGCACGTACCATATAAATTCGCACACACATACTCGTAGATGCATGAGTAAGCCTGCTCTGCCTCAAGGCATTCAAAGCGTTGAGAAATCGATTACACACCGAAACGCGTCCTACGACACCAAAGAAGACGACGAGCTCAAAGTCGGCAACAGCGGTGGCAAGGTGCAAACAACATTTGCCAATGTTGACACACACACACATATGTACATATGTATGTAGTATTAATGTGCGATTGCAAGTCTTCATTTGTATGCGCCATGTTATGGCCAGCACTTCCGGTCTACTTTTTCGCAACATTTAAAACAAACAGCGCAACGATTTACTCCCTCAAGGCAAATGCCCTTTCATGGGAGTATTTCAATTTGAGTTTTCGTTTGTTCTACGCCTCCCTCGTGTGTTTAAAGTTTCTTTTCGTGTTGCATTTGTGGGAGTCTGTTGCGAACTAAAAGCTTAATATTCACTTGTGCAAAAGTACATATACGAGTATTTGTCCATAGAAATGGGGTTTGCATGGGCTTTGTAGGATGGCTGCCGGAAATAAACAGAAACTTTCTCAAGAAAGCGCAAATCAATTATGCTTTTCTAAAAACTTTGAGGCAAACTAAACAAAATAAACGCTCCTTTTATTAGCTCGGGATGTAACTATGAAATATTGATGCGCCTAAAAGATGCAGCGAATTCTATTCTCAAGTTACATACCTGATGACAGTACGAATGGCAATTATAATAGGGAGGTTTTAGTTTTTAAACTATAATTTTATTTGCTTTACGAAAAGTAACATCAAGAGGTTATTGTTTTTGTTATTGTCGTCGTATCCGTCTAAGTCGGTTGCCCATCAAACCCCGACGAGGTTGGACCAGACGAGTGGGCATGTGAAGAGACACTAATTTTTTATATCGAGGTCGGTTGCCCATCAAACCCCGACGAGGTTGGACCAGACGAGTGGGCATGTGAAGAGA